CACGCCGCCCTCACCCGCGATCCTCAGGCAGATCTCCGGCCCGGCCGAGGCGGAAGAGCTGGGCCGAGGCGCGGCGCCGCGCAGCCCCGGCGCCGCCCGCGCTCAAGAGGACCCGGGGCGCGGCGCCGCGGGCGGCGGCGGCTGAGGGGCAGCGGCGGCCGCTGCTCCCGGCCGGGCCGGAGATCTGCCTGAGGATCGCGGGTGAGGGCGGCGTGCCGGGCGCGGGGCAGCGGAGGGGGGTGTCCCGTCCCGTCCCGTCCCGTCCCGTCCCGTCCCGTCCGTCCCGCCGGCCCCGGGGGTGTCCCGCTGTCCCGCTGTCCCGTCCCGCCGCAGCGGTTCCCGGGGACCCCCGGCAGCCTCAGCCCCTTGCGGGGGGCCGGGTGTCCCCAGCCGGGTGTCCCCAGCCGGGTGTCCCCAGCCGGGTCTGTGCCGTGTCACCCCGCGGGCGCTGCTCTCGAAAACTGCGCGGCTCGCCCGGAGGGATAAATGATCTGGCAGTGCCGAGCACCCACTGCCTGCCCTGCGCTGCCGTTCTCGGCTTGGCAGAGGGAACGGAAAACAACGATAAACACGTTTCTGTCCGTTCGACACGTTGTGGGGTGGGAAAAAAAGTAACACGTTTCTCCCTGTATTGCGGTGTGTGTGTATATATATCTATATATATATATATACGTACATATATATATACACACACATATATATACATGTATAAATCTTTCCCCTGATGTCGTGCTTGCTGGCAAATGGGTAAAATAATGGGCAAAAGGTCCCATCTCTTCTTGACACGGGAGTGCCGGCAAGTTTATCTGGAGAGTCAAAATAGCTGGGTTTAATCAGTCGGGTTTGCTCAGTGTCGTCCCTCCTTTTTGTAACCCAAGGCGCCGAGCCGTGCTTTGTTTTGGCACAGGGACCTGCCTGCTTTAAGGAGCCTGCTGGAGCGCGGCCGGAGCAGTTCTGTATTCAGATTTGAGTCTCCCCGGCTAAAAGACGACCTTGAGTTTAGTTTGCCTGAAAGCAGCAATAACAACAACAACAAAACAGCAACAACAACAACAACAATAACAAATCGCTTTCTAAGTCGAGTCAGAATGTGAGAGCGGTAGTGTGTTTACAACTTCTCATAAAAAGCAAGAGATAAACCTCTCAGCACATCTTTTGGAGGGACATGGGAATATCTGTGGACAGAGCAAGCAAAACTGTAAAGAGCAAACATGGAGAAAAGGCACCAGTGTACCTTTTCTTTCTGTGCCAAGAAACAGGGCTCCTTAAATTACCTAATGTGTCTTCTAGGTAACAGCACATTTAGAAAACTATAAGATCTTGTTTTGAAAATTGGGTATAGCGATGTGGGAAGAATGTAAACTCCCAAAGCTTCCCAGAATCTTCTTTTTAAAAAGCTTTGATACTGTTAGGGAGTAAAATCCTAAATACTCCAGGCTAAAATACAGCATTTTAGGCCTAATTTTCCCAGAGAAACATAATGGTGTACTTATCTGCAGAACACTAAGGCTACAATAACTCCAAATGTGTATTTTTTGCTATAACAGCAACCATTTATATAGGAAATGGTGATGGTACAGTTTTAAGGTTGAGTGAAGAAACCCCTCATTTGACAGATGATGATTTTTTGATATCAGGTAATTTCAGTACCTGGATTATGGTGCAGGCCTGGCCAGCTCACATCTCCAGCAAACAGGTCTCTAACCATTGTCATGCAGCAATTGCTTGCATCTGATAATGTGTGTCTGGCAACAACAGGCCCATCAAATTACTGTATTTTCTCCTTCAAAGAAATCCTCACCCTTTTAAATACAGTAGAGCAACTAGGCTTTGACCTGTGTTTTTTCAGTGGGATTTCACCATCTTCAGCAGTACCCAGTAGAACAAATTTGATTAAAGTGCACTAGACTATTATGTCTAATAATACTTCATTTTGTCTTGATCTTGCTGTGCACAGTGGCTACTGTTTACAAGCTTCTATCAGTGGAAATATTGTCTAATTTTTAGTTCATTGCTATGTCGTGTTTTTTTTTTTTAATAGAAATCTTGAAAAAATAAGCTAACAGGCTTACCTTTTTATTCATCTGTTTTAAAGTTATGTCAAATTTTGAACTATCAGTTCTGCCTTTTCACAATGCAGTTCTGAGAAATTTGTAACTAGTTTTGGGCTGGAGACAGATAAGGTCTTATTCTTAAAAGTGGACATACTGGTAAATATTTGAACTACTGTAAAGATGGAGAGATCTGTGTTAGCTTATCTGCTTACAGAAATAGTGCCCAGCTTAATAAGAACACTGCAAGCTACCCTCATTTTGATCTTTGCAAAAGATAGAAGCAGAACATAAACCCAAATTGCTGTAAACTTTTCTTGTGTGATGTTACTTTCATAAACAGCAAAGTTTCTAATCCATTATTTGCATGAATTTTATACTCAAAACACTTACAGTAATTATTGCATTTCTTTATTTTTTAGTGAGTTGTATTAATCAGCCATTATTTGTCAGAATAATTATTAATCAGAATCACCTAAGTATTTTTGTTTACTAATTAGTCTTCTTCAAGAAAGCTGTTCTTTTAAAAATTGTTTTTGTTTGGTCTGTTAAGCTGCACAGTAAGCTTTATCATTCTCTCTTTGCCAGCTAATGTGTGAGACTTGCTGGTATTAATTCCAATTGCTGGAAGTGAGTGCATTTCTTCTGTTTATTAGAAGTGTCTTCCCATGTCCTTCTGATCTCTGAGAGAAGTAATTTATATAATCTAAAGAAAACGTAACAATCCTGTTGAAAACTTGAAAACTATTAGTTTCCCTTCCTTGCCTGCTTTTCTTTGTCATTGCTCTGATTTTATAAGTAACAATGTAAAGAAGAGGTGGAATTATAATGTATAAACCTCAGGCAAAAAGCTATGTGTTTCTGCTTCCAGTGGTTAATTCTAAAATGAAGTAACTACAATAACTATAGGTGGCATAAAATTTTAAGTAATACAGCATCATGGGGCATTTCCTGAAATTTGTTTGTCTTCCTGCTGAATATATACATCCAGTTTGTGTACAGTGAGGAACTAACAACTTAAAGGATCCTCTAAGCTGCACTGTACATGCCTATTTGTTTTTTCTGCACTGTGAATCATTTTGCTTACACTGTCACTTGGATCTGATAGTGAAATACTCAATTTAATATATTCATTGATTTTTTAGTTTTGTGTTGGTTTTGGGTTTTTTTTTTTCAAACCATTGAGTTGTCTTTTTCCCTTATTGCTGACTTGTCATGATAAATTTAGTGTCCTATATAGAAAACTATTTTTTTTGAATGCTAAGGACTCTTCTAAAAAGTATCATTAAGGTTACAACATTTTGACTATCAACACTTTCAGTTAGTTTTTATTATGTAACTATCTTGGTACAAAAGCTGTTTACTCTTTCATCAGTATGACCTCACTTTCTTGTTAGTCCTTCTCAAAATTGAGATTTTAAATACCTGTTTGAGGCTTTTAGTGTCTAATCCAGAACTGGCAGTGCATGAAGATACATAGTCTTGTGTGCCAATCAAGAGCAGCAGAGTGCCAGGACTCCATTTTAGTAAGGTAGCAGTGTTGTTGATCAGTCATGACATAGCCCTTAAAGTAATTCTTTCATGGTTTTCTGTTAAATAAAAAGTTCCTTTAGCTTTTCAGTGTGTTTTCATTTTCTTTTTCAGAGTTCAGGCTGTTGTTCTAATTGCCAACTCTGTCATCACCTAAATTTGAAATATCATAGTGATGACTGAATTAATCGTAAAAAGGACTAAAAAGAGGATCTTAAACAATTTTGCTTTTTGTCTTGACATTGCTACAAAATTTGTCTTTCATATTTTCTGATATATCTTTTATGTGTTGACTTTTAAGTGAAACACAACAAAATTCCATATACCAACTCTAGATCTAGAAATACACTTCTCTTCCTGTAGTAAATAACTCTTTGGTTACATTCCTGGTAATTCAAAACAGACTAACGCTGGGGTTTGTTGTACTGTCAGTCTCTGAATTTCTCATCTAAGGCATCTGTTTAACAACAGAGCTGGGGAACTTCTTTTTTTTAATGAAATAACCTTTGCTGATCATATGCAGACTTGTCCTGCCACCAGTGTCTGTTCAGTATTTAGTTGTCTCATCACAGAATTGTTTAGGTTGGAAGAGACCCTTAAGGTAATCGAGTCTAATGGTGACTCTTGAATTACTGACATTTCTTCCTTGAAGGCCTGTGCAGCAGAACCTGAGAAGCATCAGGCTTATTGAGAGTAAAAGGAAGGAGATTATTTTTTCGTCTCTAAATTCACATTAACCTGATTTTGAAGTAGCTCTCAGTTCTCTACACTGCAATCAGCTTGTGTAGACATGCCTGTGCTACCTTTAGTCTCACTGGTTGAGGTACCAGCAGTCACACAGCTGTGGTAGCCTAGTCCTCTGTTAGGGGTATGTAGGCTCATTTTGTTGTACATTGGATGCTTACTCAATTTATGTATTTTAACTGTTTTGTTATATAAGGCTAACAAAATTAAGTGTATTTGAAGTATATCTAACATGCTGCAGTCATATCTCCTAATTGCAGTGCCTCTAAGGCAGTGAGCCCCACTCTCGTTCTTCTGAGAGATGATTAGAAAGGTCTGCTCCAGTTTGATAGTTTTGGGATGATTTTTTATCAGAAATTTGCAGGAATTAGGAAGTGCTCAAGCGCAGTTTATGTAAATGAAATACCAAAAAGCTAAAATTAGCAAAGGAAACATAAAGATAATAAAAGGGAAGCCTTGCTTCTGGCAGTTCAAACCTTTGTGGGCTCCTAGTGAAATCAATTCATCAGTGTTTGAGTGTATTTTATGTGTACACCCTCAATCCTGCAATCAGATGCTTAATGAAGGAATTCTCCTTTCTCTTAATTCCTGTTGAAAAAATCAACACACTAATCCTTGACTAAACAGAACTGGGAATATGTTGGGGAAAAAAGCAGGTAAAAACAGCCATGGTGAGTAATACAGCATTTGGACTGATAAGTCAGCAGAGAGGTAAATAAAATACACTTACAGGAAATTACTTCTCTGTGTAGCTCATTTCTAAAATCTCCCCATAGGAAACATGTTAAAAAGATGGAGCCTGCTGTTTCCATGATAGGGAGCAATTGTTAGCAGTGCACGGGAATAGACAGCTTGTCAGGATATGGGCATTTGGCACACACTGCTCTGGTTGTGAAGTACTTCTGTAAATTCATTGAATTCAGGTTTCTTTCATGTGTTTTTAGAGTAGCTGCAATTAAGGTGGTCCTGAGTTACCATTGCAGAAATTGTATACCAACTATTCAAAATACACACTGCTTGCTCAAGACAAGAATTCTTATTTTTGTTGGACATTTTTGCAGAAGCTGCAGAAGAATTTCAGTGAAAGTAGGAGCCCTGAGGATGTGACTCTGTTATTCCAAATCCTGTTTAGGAGCAAAATGCTAACTTATATTAAGTCTTTGACCTGTGCAAATTATATTTATTTTCATTTTGATCCTCCCTTTGTGTTTGAGGATTTTGGATTACTCTTTGTGTAGCGCTTTTGTGTTTTCAAGTGATATAAAGCTTCTGGGAAGAAGCTGAAGTGCAAGAAGGTAGCATGTCAGTTGGAGTACTACAGCCATTCTGCCCAGACTTTGATGCAGTTATTGTTTGTGTACAATAAAGAGGGAGAGCCCAGTCTAGTCGATAATTAGACTGGCACTAAAGGACAGATGCCATCGAGGGAGAAGTTTTGGCTGGGTATTCCTACTGTTAACACCCAGCAGGCTCGTTCAGTGAGCTAACTCAGAAGATTTTTCCTTGTAAGGAACCTGGTGGCAGCTAGCCATTAAATCAGTTTAGAAGTGGTGTGAAATTATAGCCTGGGGCTGTAGTGACATGTGTTTAATCTGGCAATGCCAGTTTAAACACAATCCCTAGATATCACATCCTCTCAGTTCTCCTTTCTGCTTCCTCCTTTGCCCTCAGTTCTCCTCCTGCCCACATTAGCTCACATTCTCAGACCAGAGGCAAATAAATCAGCAAAGCAGCTTTTTTTCTTTTTATCGCTTTTCTTTTTTTTTCTTTGCTTTGTTCTTCCCCCCCCCCCTTTTTCTATTTTTCTTCTCTTTTTTTTCTTTTTTTTTTTTTTCTTAATATTGCACTTGGGTACCTACTGCAGTTTCTAATTCATGCAAATCCACCTTGATGCTGCTCAGCCATTAACACAGAGGTGGGGATAGATGGAGGGAAGCTGTGGAGAGCTGGGGGTCCCTCCAACCCCAAAGCCCACCCCCAGCATTACCTTTATGTGAAGCAGTTTTTGCCACAGCATATTTTGCATCCAGTTGGGATATCAGTGCACTTGCTTCTCCACATGTATTTCACTTCCTGGGCCAGTTTACTCACGTCTTAAAAATGCATGGCATTACTCTAAATTTTTTGGTCCTTTGGTTTGTTTTTAGAGAATACTTTGGTAAATAAATACTGGGAGGTACATTGCAGGTAATACACTTTCCATACTGTCCTGCAGCTGCTGTGCTTACAAGATGGGACTATTAGGAGTTCAATAGTCAAGTCTTGGTGCCTTGCTTCTGCTGAGAGAGTAAGGAACGAGGTGCCTGACATGCCTCACTGTACATCCCACTGGTTGCACATGACCTGTAAATGTTTAAGCCAAACAATTCACAACAGGCAACTGAAATGAGCATTTTGCAAATGTACACTTTTTGGTGGTCTTTTCTGCCTTCACCCCTTGAGATATTACTGTACACAGGTGAGCACTGAGAACATGACTGTTGAAATATGGAAATACGAACTCCTTTTCATGGCATACTTATTTTGAAGATACAAGTAATGATGTCTAACTGCTGGTCATGGAGGATGTTTTGAAGATTAAAGTGATTTTTTTTTTTCCTACTGTCTCAAAAAGGAGATACAGTTTTTCTCCATCACAAATTCTGTTTTGAAATAATACATTTACGTGCAGGTGATCTGTTTTGATATTTAAGTAATATCTCTGTTCTAGGCACCTAGTTGGTTAAAGGTTATCTGAATTTTAATCCAGATATGATATTTTTTCAGCAGGAGGAAGACAAGTATTGCTGTGGTGCTGCAAGCCTCAGTTTTTATTGACCAATTACCTCAAGCACAGCAATTTATTAGCAGCAGCACAGTCGGTGTTTAAAGTTCACTGGGCCCTCAGCTTCCCCAGCCATAAAAGTAATTTGTATCTGTGTGAATACTGCTGGTATTTTTTTCCCTGCAAAAAGAATTAACAAAGGAAGCCAGGATGCCTTCTGCCTGCAGGAGACACCTTTAGTTTAACGTAGGTGCTCAGAGGTGCAGAGGGATTTGTGATAATTTTGGGGGGGGGTTGCTATTCAGAGTGCAACCACCTGCCAGAGGAGGACTCTGCTGTGGATGTGGGTGCAAGTCGGGCTCCTGCTCTTTTGCAAAGTCATCCAACGGGGAACACTTTGGAAAAGAACACAAAAGAGCTGCGGATTATGGGAACACTGCTGAGCAAAAAGCCTCAATCTTTGTGTGCCTTGTTTGTTCAATACTGGAGCAATAATAATACCTGGGTGGGTAATACTCAAAAGAAGATTTTCTTCATTTTAAACCATTTAAAGTTGTACCCTTGACAGGTAATACTTCAGGCTTTCAGCAGAAAAATGTGGTGCTTATAAAAGCTTCAAATTTTCTTGCGTTTCAGATCGCCTTTATTTCGCAATTCTCTGCCAAAAACCAAAGAGTGGAGCTGCAAATACCCATTATTTCTGCATAGATGATGAACTTGTGTATGAGAAGTAAGTATGGTCTTATTTTTTCTGGTTTTTTTTTTCTGAAATAAATTAGTCAGAACACCAGCAGTGAGGAAACAGCCTGATTGGCATTCTGTTTTTAAATTGAGCTGAGGGAAATACACCATTTCCATTATAGAATTAATTACATGAGTTTGGTCTTAGACTTACCTGCCATGATTATATGCCTTAGAATAGTTTCTTGCCTTCCAATCAGGATTTCTTAAAAACGTTTTCAAAGCATAAGCTTTCATTGTGCCCATTCCTGTTAGAAGGCACAGGAACATGATGCAGCCCTATGGAGCCAGAGGTGCACACTGAACTGCCAGGCTGAAGGGGGTGTCTGTGGTTGTTCATATATAAAGTGGAATGTCTGAACTTCCTACAGTAAGAGTTAAAACTGGCAAAACCAATTCAAGATTTTATGAGCTGACAATGGATATATTATTTCCCCTGTAGTGAACAGTGTTTGCCTTTTACTATGTGGAATGCTGCTAATTCTTTAAATGTTTTCGACCAAGGGCGTGCTTGCTGGTTTTTAAAGTACTAATCGGTCTTTATTCTCTGTGTTTACTTTTCTCTAGCACTATCAATTGCCTTCTTTTTAAAGTAAAGCTTATGAGTTACTCTTAAAATAGAGTTTAAAAACTTCTGTCACAGAGTAATACTGTAGTGAGAAGTAAGTTCTTCAAACCTTGAGTTTGGTTTCGAATGGTGCTGTGTGAAAAACAAAGTTTTAGTCCATATTTTAAGACAAAACTGTTTCCTCCAACAAAATAGTGTGTATGTATGTATCTAAGAAGGCATGCTTGTTTTTAGAATGATGTACATATGTCCCTTTTATAGTATTACTCCTGGTTTTGTGCATCTTATTAACAAGAAAAGGCGTTCACAGGGGTCATATACAAATTTTCCCCTTTCTTCTACCAGCTTCTATGCAGACTTTGGACCACTCAATCTGGCAATGGTCTACAGGTACTGCTGCAAGCTAAATAAGAAACTAAAGGTAACACTTGGGGTTTTTTTCAATATTACTGACTTTTTAAGAAACAAAAACAAATGGGCCAAAGGTTTTGGTTTGTGGGGGTTTTTTTGTTGTTGTTGCTGTTGAGGTGCCTTCCTAGAATCCTAACCCAGCTGAGTTTTGAATATGAATGCCAGAGTTTATCGAGGTAAATTTAGGGAGGAGGAGGATAAGAAGGGAAGACCCAGTTACTTTTAAGAACCAGAAGATGTACCACTGTGGCAGTAACTAATGTTAAGCTTCTGAAAGATCAGTTGCTAAATCGAATACAGACTCTTTTAAATGAAAAGCTCCCCTCCTGGAATTCAGTCTTCTTGGCAATCTTGCCCATATTGAGTGAGCTGGAGGGTGCAGTGCAACACGGTTTTATTTGAGATGGTTTTGGTTTGATTTGGTCTTTTCTGCTGCTGACATCTCTTTAGTAAGAAGTAACATTTGATCTTCAGTAGCGTTGATGGCATTGGCCTGAAGGAGACTGCTGTGCTCCTTCTGCAGATTATTTTCTCTTAGGGATGCTCAGTAATTTTTAGGATTGGGCTCTAGATAGAGCACAGTGTCTTTAAAACAGGGACTCCCTACTTCCTAATAATTAACATGAATGACTACAAGTTAGTTGACCTCTAATAGATGTTGGAGCACAAAACCTGTAAGGCAGATAAAAAAGCTTATTTGCATTAATGTGAATCACAGTTTACCTCTTCAAAAGTACTTAGATCTTTAAGCTGCCACTGAACTGTGAAAATTGGAAAGTATACAGAACATTATAGATTAAGAGTGTATTTTTTTCATTCCTTGATGTCTGTCACTGATAATAGTTTGCATGATCCAGACTTGCTTTATCCCTGTGGTACTACAAACAGGTTTGCCAGAGATAAGGTTCTCTGATTTTTGTTTACAGGATGCTCTGAAGCAACACAAACACATTATAAACCTTTTTAATATCTTAGGTTTGATATTGGACAGACACATTAGGATTGAGAACGTATTTCTGCCAGTGATCTGGGGTTTATTTGTGTTGAGTGCATTGGATGGTATCTGAGCAAGTAACATTGCTATGTAAATACGTAAAATGACATTTTATGATAGCTTAGCAGTTGATCAAAGCATGCAGTTTTAAGCACATCAGAATTTGTTTCAAGGGCCATTTAGGGGATAACTGACACCACAGATGTCTGTGTCCTTTCTATGGAAAATGCCATTCCACCCAGTTTCTAAGATAATTGGAGAAACTATATGCCAAGCCAAGATGATATTTTAAAAAGCTATTTATGATAAAGTTTAGAAATACTTTCAAAATATTTTAATCCAAGCATGTTTCTGATGCTTAGAAGCAAATACTAGTGGATTTATAGAGAGTCAGGTTTTCTTTAAGAATGAAAATGTCTAAATTCTGTTTTTAAAACTGTTGCAACTTTATTATGCCTGTACTGTTTTTGAAAAGGCCATTTTCTATTTGCTTCTCATAAATGGCTATCTGTTACATAAGGGTTGAAGTTGGAAATATTAAATACGTGTAAGAAGAAAAATAAAAGATTCCTGTAATTTGTACCAAAAATTATTTAGGCTGGATACTGGGAAAAATACCAGAACAATCTAGGTGGGGATGCAAAGTTTTCCAAAGCTTCTGAGGGACTAGTCTACAGTATGGCTGGTTCTCTAAATACAGGTGGCTGATAAACAAACTCTTGTTTTCCTCTAATTTTATAAAAGAAGGGATAAAAGGTCTAAAATGCAAAATCATAATCTTTTTCATTTCTTGATACAGTCATTTTCATTGACAAGGAAGAAAATAATTCATTATACTGGCTTAGATCAGAAAAAACAAGCAAATGCTGCATTCCTCATAGGCTCCTACGCAGTAAGTATTTAAAGTTTTACATCAGCTGCTAACTGTGTTCATTTTTTCATACTCAGTTTTTAAAACAGCAAGATAAAGACAATTCTTTACTCTTGAAAATCATCCTACCATCATTATACTAATGTACAACATAATAAGAGTTTCTAAAGTCTAGCAGCTATGTGAGTGAAGTTGTATGATTTTAGGTTTTTTCCTTCTTACTGCAATCTGTATCCCCAGGAAGTAAGAGCATCACTGAAAAGAAAAATTAGTATTTCCATTTCATAAAAATGACTTCTTCTTGAAGTTTTACCTTTCCCCCAGCCACACAAACCCTTTTTCTTTTTTCAAATACAGAAATAGTGTCTTACACCGAGTACAGTGTATCATTTGCCAGTACATGCATGTTTAAATAATCTTTTCCTTCCCCAGCTGTGTCTTTTTTACTGTAAGATGATCTCTTCAGTCAACCCAGGAGAATTAGTGAGAATGTGTGATAGGCTTAGGGCCTGTATAAAGCCTGGGAGTATGAAAGGTGGCTGGAAAGGTGCTGAGCCGAGGGTATGACTGCAGAGGAGAAAAGGGCTGGCTTTACATCACAGCTGCATGTATTTGTACACAAAAGTGTAGTCAAGGAATAAAATGCTGAAAGCCTCAGAATGAAAGATGTGATGTACCATATTTATGTTCTGTTTGGACTGGTAACACACCTTGATTGTAACCGTTTCTCTTGTTTGCTGAGTAATAAAATGAAATGAAAAGCTCTGTGCTTTTTGATGTTGGAGGTTTGAGGGGTCAGAGTTCATGGAGCCTTAGGTCATTCCTATTTATTGGCTGCAAGGCTACCCGGTACTTTCTGTGATGCAGGCAGTCTCCTTGCTGCCCCTCTGCATCATGCAGGATGTCCATTTTCTGCTCCCCCCGGGGTTTCTCTGTTGTCTGTATTTTACAGCATTTATTACAAATTGAGAACTAGATTTCAAAATGTGTCACTCTTGGTATTTGAAACTCAGGCACTTAGACATGTTGCTGTAGACCTTTGCTATTTTAAACCACATGGAAACTGGTAACATGGGTTACTAAGCTTGTTTGCATTTAGAGGGATTGTGCTGACAAAACAGCTGTAGCTTTTAGGAAAACTACTTCTTCCTAATTACTTGATCAAAAGGGAGGCCCAGAAAGTGAGAGAGGACTGGCTTCAGTTATCAATCATTATTTGAAAAGAAATGGGTTTTGTTTTTTCCCTACACTTCTGAATATGTGTCCTAGTATTGTGCAGCACAGCAGCTGACATTTAGAGCAGAATTTTGGTACAGAAAACTAGTTAATGGCAATGCAATCTAAAGAAAATACTGTGGTTAACTATGCAAAAGTATACAGAGAAACTAATATGAATCTTATTTTAGTTCTGATCCACTTGGAGAGGGGAACCAGGTTCTAAAACATTCTGAGATTAAGGCACAAACAAGGCCAGATGCTGGATCCCCAAATGATAATTCAGCTTTATCTTTGTAAAGAGCAGAGAGAAAGAAGGAAGGTAGAAAAGCAGGAAAAGCTCAGGGTAGCTGTTAAAAGCACAGGACAGGAGTTACCACCCCGATGAAGTGCTGCTGGCTTGCAGGCTGATAGATCTCTGCTTCTTCCCTGGTCGCCTTGTATCCTCTGAGGCAGGCAGAGTAACAGGGTGGCAGCAGTCCCTGGGCATGGCCCTACACTCCTTTGCTGTGGTAGCCCCTGGATGCCCACTGGCCAGTTCACCAGTATCCAAGCAAAGGTCGCCTGGTACCAAGATGGGCCCTGAGTGTTCACGCCAGATCTGCCTGCCATGCCTTATTGGGAAGGGTCCTTGCTGTGTTCTTGATTGTAACAACTTCTTATCTTTTTTTTTTTTTTTGCTAAGAATAGCTTGTCTACCTGCCTGCCATGACTTGCTAGTTATCTCCTGGAGCTTTTGCAAGCAGCTCAGCTTCTGGAGCAGCCTGGCTGTTGCATCAACACCTTTTAGCTCCATGCTCGAGGCAGTGGCTCAGCAGACTCCATCTTTTAATCAGTCCCTTACACTCTGCTATGTTGCAATAACAGCATGCAGTTGAAGGGCAGTGCTTGAACAGACTTGAATAAAGCTCTAACATTAATATGTATGGATTATGACAGTCCAAAGCACAGTAATTAAACATGGAGGCTGTTTGGAGTAGGTGATGGGGATTAGTAGCAGGAAGTGGGGGTTGCAGAGTGAAGGAAGGATGCTCACACAGATCCCACTGAAGTAGAACAGGAGATCACGACTGACTAGCCCATGCATGTGGGAGTGCTGCTTGCAGACAGATGGCCTATGGCAGGAAGAGGCCAGTCAAAACCACCAGCTTAAGTTACTGCCTTGAATACATGAACTGTTTCAGCAGTTTCTCTTCAGGGCAATGTGAAGTGCAGTGGGAGTACCAGTCACCTCTCTGAATGCGCACGTGTCTGTCCTGCATATCCATAGGTCTTAGATGGTGAATTAGCTCCAGCTAGATGGATTTGCTCTCCAGTGCAATAGACTTTGGCTTTGGTACTGCCTTTTCTTCCCAGCAAGATCAAGTTGCTTCCCAGTTTCATGTGGGAGGGATTCCACTGAAGAAAGACTGTGCCCCCAAGGCTTCCTTTTTCCCGTGACACCCTTTGATGATCTTTCGTGAAGAGACAGGCTTAATTACAGCTCCCGTTGCTCAGGTGTTCAAACAAACTTGTTCCATATTTTTGCTTTCTGCAGAGAGAATTGCATTGTTCTTTCTGGAGTGAGCAATGATGTAGGATCTGTTCAGAATCCCTCATAAACATGTCTGTAAGTATATTTCCTTACTGAAAGGAAATATCGAGGCCTTCTTTATTTGAAACATATGTAGGCTTAAGTATCCACCTTCTTCAGTTCAGAATGCTTTGCTTGTTGATGAAGGAGGATCCATCCAGCTATTGGTCAAATCTTTCAGAAGCTTTTCTTTAATTTTATTGTCAGACTGTCATGTTGGTGATGCTTCATTGCTTGAGCTGGTTGTCATCATTTAATTTCTGATCTTACAGTGTAAGTGGTAGGTTGACACTGTGTTTTGTTTTCTGTGGATTTAATGTGTTTTCTTGTTGGATTCTGGTTTTTTGGCTTTATGGTAGGTTCCCATTTCAACAGTTTACCTTAGATTGAGGAACTGTGTGGTAGTGCATGAGGTTTGATGCTCAAGGAAGAGCAAGGAGGTAGAAAGGGAGCACGGCCTTTGCAGAGTTAGTCACAAAAATACTGCTTGTGTACATGTGTTGTAAGGCATTTGAGAACTTAAGCACAGTTTTGGATGCAAAGTGCTCTGCAGATGCTGGTGCTGCAAGTTCCTTGTTCCAAATAACAGGCTGCCAGGTTTTCAGGAACAGCAAAGTGTGTGTGATTTCTGGTTTGGGATTGTGTGGGTTTCTGTTTCAAGCACAGTCACATTTAAGCTATAAAACTGATAAACTGTGTATAACTAGTTCTCCTCTGAGACTTCTATGTCCTCCATTCAACTTCTGAACATGTAATTTTAAGGACTTGTTGACCTTAAATTTGTATTATTAAACAGAATATTATTTAACTTCTGCTTCAAGGAGTTGGGATACATTAGCATGGTTTATAATTCAACATCTTTTGTGTAAATGTGTATGTGTGTTTATATATATCATGTGGGGATATGCTCATTTGGACTACTAAGGCACTTATGAAAGTCTCTATTAACTGTGGTGTGGTAAGGGCAGCTGTTAGTGTTCTCATTTTCAAGCAAAGTCTGTTCTGAGTCTTTTCTTCACAGTTGGTGCGTTTTAATGTTTCCCCTTCCCCTTCATCTAACTTGTCTTTCTTTCCTCTTCAGTGGAGATAGTTTATGAACTCTCCAGGCTTCATACTTCTTTCTCCCTCCTCCTGCATCTTCTACTTCCTTCCAGGTGTACTTTGATGTGACAGCACAGCCTAACTCAAGCTCTTCAGTATAACATGGCCTTGAAAATGAAGAACAAAATTTACAAATACATTTTTATATATGTAGTTTTAGAATGAAATATTATTTTTAGAGTAAATCTTAACAAATTAGACCTTAATCCCTTTATTGTTCATCTTTCATCTATTTTAATTCTGTATTTTGTTTCATTTTTACAGATAATATACTGCATAATGGGAATAATACTCTTCTGTGTAGATTAGCAAAAATTTGGCAGCCACACATTCAGCCACACAAAGGGTAGCCAGAATTCAGTGTGTTGGGGTTGAATGTTTACACTTTATTTGGGTGGAGGGGGAAAAGGGAAAGAGGGGCGGGGGTTGGGGGGGAAGCTTTTGTTCTTCACCTTTTAAAGAAAAATCTTTTCCTTGAAAGCTATCTGCACTGTTCAGGCCTTACCACACTACCAAAGCAGCAGTGATCTTCTGAGTTGGTATCTACAGTGGCTTCTCTTGATTTTCACCAGGACTTGGCTGTGGGTGAGGAAAGTCTGCTTCTTCCATCATTGCTCCTTCTATATTAAGAAAGAAAATGTACCCTCTGTGTCCTGTCCACCCAATTCCCAAGCTCCCCCCTCTCCCCTTGGCTACATTGACTTAGTAACAGTGTTTTTTTTCTCAGGCCTGGCACTAATTATGTACTTGGAGGGTGACCCTCCCAGGGTACCGCCCCATGAACTGCTGTAATTCAGGTCACCTTCTCCAGGACTCATCTCTGTACTTTGTCTATTTTCTCATCTTCTTTCTTCAGGGTAAGCAGCGTTTCCTTCATCCCTTCTAATCCGTAGTGTTGGTTTTTTGCCTTTTCAATTTGTCAGTGTCCCTCCTAGCTGTGGGCCTCATGCGGGGTACGAGCTGGAGGCTGGAGCAGCAGCTGGCACCCATGGATGTGATGTTGAACTGCTCTGTTCTTACTGTGGCAATTGCAGAATTATCTTTGGCTAAGCCTGAAATAAACCTGTTCAGTGGTCCAGTTTGGGTGATGGTCAGGGGGTAGTTATGAGTGGGTAAACCATGTTTACCCTCA